GGGGCCACGGGAGATTGCTGTTGGTTTTCCCATTTTGTTTCGGTTGCAGTTCTTCGGCACCACGTGAAGCCAAGTTGCCAACTGCCCAAATCCAATAGTCGAGCATAGACTGCATCAGTGCATGCTCGAGCAGACGATGAGCTGTTCCTCTTGGCTGCTTCTTCCCCCTTTTCGACGAATACCTCGCTGCACTTCTGCAATGATTGCCTGGATCGGGAGCCGGATCCCGGAGATCCGATGACGATCGTTGCGATAGTCTGCCAGGATGCGCTTGGGCGAATCATTGCTTCTGGATTCTGGAAGGCGGTATCATGGCAGAGACCTTGACTCAGTGCCGTGTAAGCAGGCAGGCTCAGGCGTCAGAGTCGATCCCACACGATGGCGTCCCAGCTGCCGAACCCTGGACTGCTCGGCGACAGGGGTTGTGCTGGTTGCCAGCCAGTGGCCCCCTTGGGTCTCACGGCTCCCGCTCCATAAGAAAATGCAAGGTCATGACTAGGAGGATGACAGGTTTTAGCTGCCGGTCCAAGGCGTTGGGCCGCGTTGGAACATGGAAAGTGTGTGATGGCTGTGAATGCGAGGAAGAAGTTTGCGCTCTGATAAGGAGATTTCTGACAGAATTGATAAATGCGCCTTGATATACAATGTTTGCTTCCCCTTTCTCATCACTGGCACAGAAGAGCCCATGCCAGAAATGTCCGTTGTTTCTTTTCCAACGCTGCCGACGTCGCCAGCGTCGCGTGACATGACGACTATAGACTGGGTTGCGATTTCGCGAGGGTTTCCGCAACGTTTCCTTGGACTATGACAGGCCCGGGGAAGAGTCCAGAGAGCCAGAGTTGTCTGCCCATCCGGGCACATTACCACTGATTCTGATAAAGCGCCGACAAAAGCCCCGCAGATATTAGCACTTAGCAGCGACACGGCTACGCGCAGTACGAGGGCTTACCAAACCAGCTCACCATCCGTACAAGGTTTTTCTGTTTTAGCGGCAAGGGATGGAAAGGGAGAAGCGACACAAGACAGGGGCCGTTCAAACACGGCAGTGTCCGGGAGATGATGGCATGGCATGGCCACCTTGGGTTGGGGACCTTTGCACCTTTGCCCAAAAAATAAACTGTTGCCCTAGCCCGTTTTTATTCAGTTTCCCCCAGAAATGAAAAAACAAGACGAACCGCTTCTGGTTCATGGGACGACCTTGTCTATCCTATCCCGCCGCACCCTCTTTCTTGCCGGTTGCTTGTCTATCACTCTCTTCCTACACTCATTGCTACTGGTAACCTTCTTTCTTCCCCCTTGCGTTATACGGAGACCAGAGTAAAAGCCCGCCTATCGTCGAGCCTTGCTGACCTGCAACTCTCTTGGTTTGTGCATTGCGTCTTTGGCCCGGCATTTAACTTGGACCCCCCCAGTTTCCCGAATTCCCCCTCCTCCAGTCCCGAAGCGCGCACCGCTCCCTTCTACCCTTCCCCCTTGCCCACCACGGTCTCGCTCGGAGCGGACCGCATGTTGATGGACAGGTTCTACAACCAACAGCGGCTTCGCAAAAGCGGTGGTAGCAGCTTGAGCTCAGTCGGTTCTGGCTCTCCCGTGGGACGGCACCAGCCGACCCGTCCTCCAACGGCCGCCAACAGCATCTCGGCCGCCTCCACATCGACGCTGCTCACCGCTAGTTCGTCGTCCGAACGTACCCGCAACTTTTCCACAGACAGCAGGCCGCGCACGCCGCCATCAACGAGGCCGTCGATGCAGTCAGGCGAACAAGACGTACGTACTTCTTCGGTCTATGAGACATTGACCCCTCCGTGGACCGTGGCTACTGTCATGTTGTCGCCGGCGCCTACAGATCCAGGTGGTAATGCAGACTTAACCAAAGCTCTTGAATCTTATGCCGCAAATAGGAGTATCCCGAGGATCACCCGAGCCCGACCTCCGATGAAGTGAACGAGGCCGTCTGGGCGGGAGGGTCCGATTCAGACGACGGATCGGACAGCGACCCGACGCCGGGTCAGAGTCTCCGGGCGGTAACAAAGTGAGTCTCTCATTCTCATCCGACGATCATGTCTTTCATTGTTTTTTTCTTCATTGTGTTTCATGTTTATCCTCATTCTCACTTTCCCTCGCTATCTCATCGGCCACACTTTCTTTCCCTGCGACATTCTGACCATCCGAACCATCCGTGCAGTAGCAGTTCCAGCAAATCAAAGATCAAGACGGGCAAGTCGTCCATCTTCCAGGCTATCTTCAATAAGTTTGCCAAAACCGGAAAGCGCTTCGGCTTCGTGCCAAACACCAAGGTACGCTTTACTCAACTATCATCCTTTGATGCAGGTTGCCCCGATGCTAACCCGTCTTACCAATCCGCCAGGAAGAACAAGACAGAAATGGTCAGCAAGCATCCTTCACCGTGGCCCACCGGTCCTGGAGTTCACGGCCACCTAGCTCTTCACCTACACATGCATCTTGCGCTTCCTGCAGGATCTGGAGCGTCTAGACCAAGACCTGCCTTGTCGCTAACCAGGAATCTGCAGTCCTCCAACACCAGATCATTGCCGAACTCTTCGACCACAGACTCCACTTGGCCCCAGTCGTCAAGGCCAGGGCCGCCCTCGACGTAGGCACGGGGCCAGGGCTATGGGCATTAGTGCGTTACCTTCTCATCATCAGTCACTTCGCAACGCCCCCTCCCCTCACCTTTTCCCGCATAAATGATGTAACTAGTCTGGTATCACGGAATGACTCGCTAACTAGCCTCATGTAGGAATATGGCAAGTCGCTCCTGTTAATGCCTACGGGGTATTATAACACCGGGAAGTTCACGCTAACGCCAGTTGACCGCCGCAACAGCCAAGAAGAACCCAAACTGTGCCGTGATGGGCGTCGATATTGAGAAAGTGCGCCCTCCATATAACGTGTCCAACTGTCAGTTCAAGATCATGGATATAACTACCGACTGGAACATCGGCAGACAGTTCGACTTCATCCATGTCCGTATGCTAGGCGATATCGTGGAAAAGGAAAAGTTCGTTGACTCCATCTATCGCCACCTCAACCCTGGGGGCTGGGTCGAGTTCAGCGAATGGATCGCGATCCTCGTATCCCCAGATCACTCACTGGAGGGGACAGCATTTCACAAGTGGAACATGCTTCTCCAACAGGGTCTTCAGAATATGGGCCGCTCCATGCACTACGTCTCACAATATCAGCCCATCTTGGAGAAGTCAGGGTTTGAGAGGATGAAGTTGACAAAGCACGCTGCTCCTACGAACGCGTGCTACCCGGGTAAGAAGTGTCAGCGGTTCGGTACCATGATGTCCAGCAACTGGAATGCCATCATCGAGCCGCTAAGTGTCCCTGTTTTTACTATTGGTCTAGGCTGGTCCGAGGCCCAGGTTCTTGCATTGGTTAAGAAGGTCCGCAAGGAGATTGATGATACGAATTACCATTCGTTCATGACGCTGTAAGTTATCTCTGGAGTCAGGCAAGGTTGGAGGAGGTCCTGGATCATAACTGACAATCACATTCTGATATCAGGCTTACGATATACTGTCGGAAGCCACGTAGCGGTGCATCATCGTCCGCATCGTTGGCGAGCTCATCACGCTCGGCAGCTCAAATGTCGGTGTCCAATGTCAGTTCACATGGGTAGTGGGAAACGGCGTCTAAAAATGGGTGATGTTTTTACAAGGGGTTTGGGATTATCATACCACCATTGAGCGTTTGCAAGGCAAGCGAGCAATTTTATCATCAAAGGAATCTTCCGGTTCCATTATCAATATAGTTGAGGTTTCCAGCCATTCCATATTCTTGGTTTCCAGCAGGAACAGTCCCATAATTTGCATGTAGGTACGTGTTTCCGAACATGTAGGTTGTCGAATTGAGGCAAATGCCGCATCTTGTTGATGAACGCAAGCGATTTACTCCCCACCGACGGGCAATTTTCTGCTTTGCGCGGGACTTGTTTTCTCTTCGCTTAAGCGATAAGACGCTGCGTTTTTCATCGGCACAGCCACCCCGCAGTGCCCGCATGCCAGGATCAATAGACTGCCACAGGATTTCCAGGGCTTGATATGCAGGATTGCGGCGCAGTCAGGCGACTCGACGCGCGCAGGCACCGCAGGAAGAAGGATTATGAGGGGGGGTTGGGGGGGTTCTAAAAGGGTCCTATGAGCCTATCTTCTCGAGGCACCAGCACTCCCGCAGATCAGTGGTGCCAGTTGAGGCCATACAGACCATTCAAGCCCAGTTGATTCTAGGCCGGCATTCCTACATGTCACATGCATATTCGCCTGCGTGGGGAAGTATGAGCTGATATGATATGGTCCAACCGGCTCTTACGGGGGTCATCTGAGGGATTTAAACCCTTACTTTGCAGACCGGGGCCAATGGATAGGTAATCCGACATGAACATTAACGAGCACGAAGATGATAGTTCTCCTTGCCAACTACTCTAGCGCCAACAAGACAGTCATGACATACGTAGAAGACTTTGAGCGTTTGCCAGAAGCAGAAGGGAAGCCGGCAATTAACCCACCACCTTGCATATGACAGAACCACTTGGTTCTGGGTACGGATACCGAAGGATGCATTAGTTGTTGCTGCAGAATTCAGGACGGAACAGACTCCGTCCCGCAAGTTCTCATTGGCCAATTCCGACACAAAGTACTCTTGTTAACGCAGAGTTGAACAATAGAGCAACCCATGCTTGATAGTGAGGGAAGCTCGGAATAGGATTCAAGCGCAAGTAAACTGAATAGCCACGGTAAGCGCTCGGTGGTATACTATCGGTGAGTTGTTACCGACACGGTGATAATTGCCCAATTCCCGGAAGGATCTAGGGCTTTTCCCGCCCCTTTGGACTTTGTTTCCACCAGACTTTACTCGCGAGTCACGACAACCCAACGAAGCGCAATCGAGCGAATCGTCTTCATTCCCACACCCGTGCTGCCAATCTTTCCTCTCTAAATCAATCCCACGATTAATTAGTGCCATCGTCAACTATGGCCGATCTCGGCGCAGACCGCACTGCGGCCTATGGCGCAGTCTACTCGCCCTCATTCCTCACAATCTTCTACGACAAGTACGTCCTAGGCTTCAATATGTCAAAAGTCTGGGGCTGCAGCACGGAAAAACTCCTTCTCCCCTTTTTCAGCGAAAACTTCACCCGCAACCACCTCGACATTGGCGTCGCTACGGGTTGGTTCCCGGCAGCCGCCCTGGCGCGGCCGTTCCGCGCCACCAGCAAGCAGCGCATTACGCTGCTGGATCTCACCGCGCCGCCTTTGAACGCGGCAAAGACCCGCGTGCTCTCAGTTACGACGAACACCGAGGTTCAGTGCGTTGAGGCTGATGTCACGGAGCCGCCGCCGAAGCAGCTTCTCGGCGAGCGGTTTGACTCCATTTCCATGTTTAATCTGTTCCATTGCATGCCTGGCGGCAAGGCCAAGCTTCGTGCATTTGGTTTGTACAAGGAGTTGTTGAGCCCGGAAGGTGTGTTGACCGGATGCACGGTGCTGGGCCCAAATGAGTCGACTGGGTGGTTTACCAAGTTCTATCTCCGGTGGTACAACAAATGGTGGGGTGTGTTCAACAACTGGGACGACAAGAAGGAGGACATTCAAGAAGCGTTGGAGCAAGAGTTCGAGGAGGTTGAGACGTGGATTGTTGGACAGGTGATGCTGTTCAGGGCAAAGAAGCCCAGGAAGGCGCTTCTTGATGTTTAAGATTTGGAACGGATATGATACCTATAGCTGCATGAGTTATGAGTTAATGAGACGGGTGCATGACTGGACGTAAACAATCAGCCTCAGCAAGAATACAAAGAGTCCGAATTCTCTAGCCTACTTTACGGAAGTAGTATGTCCCTCAAACACAAACTCCGCGTCGCTGCTTTGATGAGAGGAAAGGCGAACTGCCTCAGCTCCCGTATCATTACAACTGCGTGATGTTTGTAATGAAATCGAGCTCTATCCATGATGCTGGTCAGAAACATGGTATACAGATGCATTCAGTCAACCCTACCTTACTCCATCAACTAATTGATTCCCGATTCCTCCCGCCACGAAATTAATGCCGGCCTAAGTATGGCGTTTAGAGTCACTGGATTCAACGGTCATCATTTTCAGTACTTTTCACCAGCAGCAAGTGTTCGGCGCAACATTATCAAGTTCAACATTCGGCGTATTGCCATCCGACTTAGCTGATCCTTCAATTCTAGTATTCGAGAGCCCGCTCTCTCCATACCAACGTCGGCAAATGGTTCTCGTAGCTTGAATTTTCAGTCATTTTGTTCACATTCATGAACCATCTGGGCCAGTGCTCTCCGACCTTCAAGTTCGCGCTGACAAAGCTATGATAGAGTGAGTCTTGAGATCGATTTTGGTTTCGCGTTGTATTCAGCCACCAAATGTTCGACTTCATATTTGCTAATTGTTACCAGCCTTCTTCAGGCACGCAGGTCGTTCATGCATGAGGTCTTTCGAGCTCAGAGCAGGAGTTACGCCTGCCAATGGGTCATCCAGAAGATATCCTTCTATACTTGCGCATTGCAGCTGTCCCAGTCGGTCGACACTTGAACTTCTTGGAAAAGGCACCCTGTTCTTCTACTCAGTGCCAAGTTTCCCTTGGAGTGCTAGGCAAATTAGCTTCTGTTCGTCCAGTCCGGCATCTGTCTAATTGGAGCCGAGGAGCGCTTCTAACAGCTTAACCTGATCGATAATGAAGACCGTCGAGAGGAAAACTCCCGACTGGAAATCTCCACCACTCTGTTAGGGGGTGTTAATTCCCCAACACACTCACGATATACCCACTGGGCCACTGCCGCACACCAGTTTGGCCGGATGTTTGTGATTGACTGAGCGGTGGCTACTGTGGCCTTCTCGTAACTTCCTGTTTACTTCATGTTTCATGATTATCATGCTGCTTGGGCACTAGGCCATGCTTTTGCTTTGTGTCAATTTCAGATGAAGTAACTGCAAAGTTAGCCCAATCTCAGCAAAGTGATTCAAGAAATCCTCGCCTTCTTGGTCGGGACCGTGAGATTGTATCCATCGCAGAGTATCTCTTGCCTATCACGATCTGTTGAAGCCAGATTAGAGCTGCCGCCATGATAGCTTCATCGTTGGCTTTGGCCTGATACTATCGTCAACTGGCAATGAGCTGCAGAGGAACATAACTATCGACGTCTGAGCGCGTACTACGACATCTTCTACGGAGAAGGGTACGTCAATACTCGGGGGAGCTTGTAGCAGCACTCTAGTGTTACACTCATCTTACTCGAGCAAGAAGCATGATGTGACTAACAACACACTGTCAAGGAGGGTTTCCTGCATTAAAGTTGAAAATTTGCGTTTGGCCAGGTCAATTTTATTATCATTTTCAGATTCTCGCTACAATCGACAGTTTCAGGCTACAATTTTGAACCATTTTCTAGGCCTTGATACCTTTTCTTGATGAACACAGGAAACGTCATAGACTATTTTTCACACGGTGTTCTCCTCCTTCCGGGCTTGGACATCGAGTTTCCTCTGCTTTCGCCATTCCTCGGCATATCTCACGCCGAATCCGTGCTCGAAAACTACCCTGATCTCCTCCAACGTCATGTTCGCTGCTTCAGGGAAGCAGAAGATCACAAACACCCAGCCCAAGAAAGATAGCCCAGCGTATAAACCAAACGTGCCTGATGGGGTCATGCCTCGCATCATTGACAAGAACGTCGAAGAGACGATGATGTTCGGACCCCAGTTGAAGATGTTGATCATCATGGTCCCCATAGCTCGGACTTCCATAGGGAGAAACTCGTTCGCCTGCCACGGGACACAGCCCAAACCCGCAGCGTAGAAGGCCACGAACATGATCATTGCAACCAGGACCAGGGTTGCGGGCCAACCAACTTCCTTGGTGGTCAGCTCTAGAGTGTTGTTGTCCAAGGGGATCCAGTGGAACGCAATGGCGGCAACGGCAAGGCAGACAGGCATACCCCACATCGTCCAGAGCAGGATTCTTCGCCGGCCGATTCTGTCAATAAGGAAGATTGACAATACTGTGAAGATGAAGTTGGTGCCTGCTACAACGGTACCAACAGCAACGGGGTTCGAGAAGCCGACGATCTGGAATAAACCTTGAGACTCTGATTAGCATGGCACACGCAGCACAGTGTATAAGAATTCATGGCACCGTACTGGAACTGTAATACATAAGTGTATTAAACCCGCAGAGCTGCTGGGCAGCCATAAGGCCACAAGCTGAGGTAACTGCTCGCAGGTTGGCTGGGACCTTGAATAGGCTGGTGACAGACTTTCGGAGGGAAATTTCTTCGTTGAGGACCTTGGCTTGGTTGACGCCGCGCTCAATGGAGATCACTTTGTCCGCGATTTCATCTTCACTGCCGTTGGGGTAGATTTGTCGCAGAACCCGGATACAGTCGTTTCGGTTGCCGTGGAACATGAGTTGACGAGGTGACTCTGGACACCAGAAAAGGAGAATACCGAGTATGATTGAAGGAACCCCGCCGATCCCAACCATGTATCTCCAGCCGTGTGCGGTCGTGTTGAAGGCCGCGGCGAAAGCGTACGCAAGCACAGATCCGGCACCAAGGAAGATCATGTCGATTGAGATCATTCGGCCTCTGAATCTGGCAGGGGAAATCTCTGCGATGTATAATGGCACGATCTGAGAAAACAACCTCTGTTAGCACACGGACCCCGGTCAAGTCTGTTGCGGAAAAGCATAGAGATATGGAGGCTTACCATGGATGCAGAGCCGACACCAAAGCCGATCACAAGTCGACCAACGGTCATTTGCGCAATCGTGAAAGAGGTAGCCTGGAGCAGGGCACCGATCGTAAAGAGGATAGAGGCGAACCAGATAGCAGGCTTTCTTCCGTACTTGTCAGCAGTAATACCGGCAATGACGGCGCCAATCAAGGCTCCGGCTGCGGTGACTGCCGTGATCAACTCCTTTTCTGAGTGAGTCAGGTCTTTATTGTCGAGGTCTTGACCGATAACAACAAGAACTCCGGAGATGACGCCAGTATCGTAGCCAAAGAGCATGCCTCCGATCGCGGTTGCCGCAACACAGAGCCAGACAAAGGTACCTGGCTTGGTTTCCTCGATCCGCTCTAGGTCACGGTTCTCTATGGCCTTGACTGCGTCGCTGACTGCATTGTTCTGCTCGACGTGCTGGACGCCCTGCTTGGAGGAATCATCGGGCAATCCCATGGCGAAAGTTGGCCGTAGGTTAGAGGATTTCTGATCAGAAGAAAGGAGTTACAACTAAAGATCTTATCAGGACATGAAGATCTCAACTGGAGAGGGGGTCTCTGAGATATTGCCCATGTCTACGAACTCGACACCGGTGGGATGGGCAAGCTTTATAGACTTTGCAACTTCACCACACGCTTGGGGATAGGTATCAGATGAAGGCTCACACTCAAGTTCTAGAGTGACAAAAGCAAGGACAAGACACGTCGTACTAGCGTACGGGATGATTCCCGGCAGGTTTAAACCGTCCCATGGGGAGAGCTGTTGCGGGGTTGGCCCTTATCTGACGAGGCGAACACTGTCCAAGCCCTCATCTCGATGTCTAACATCCAAGGAAATTCCAGCCGTCTGACATTGCTCATTGTTTCTATAGGTCAGTAACACTTTCTTGACTCTAGTCTGTCGTATCTGTTGGGTCTCCAGCGGGTCTGAAGCACGGGGAAGTTTGGGGGAAATCTGGATTCGCGGGGTAGCAGACTAGGATTCATCTGGGGAAATGGAGCTATTGCGAGCGCCCCCACCAATTGTGCGACAGTCCATCGCCCAGCTCGTCGAGTCAGGCCTGTCTAGCGCCGCGCGCTTTTTACTCTCTCTGGACAATGAGGCAGTCGTTTCCGTGACGAACCCGAGCCGCGGGCTGGAATTATTGCCTTTAACAGGGGAGTCAACTCTTGCGCCGCCCTGATTGCTTCGGTTTTGCGGCCGCTGACCATTCTTTTGGATGAGTAAACAGTCTGGATACGCTGCAACATTCCATAGTATGATAATCTTGACGGAAAAGGCCTCCATGAAAGCCCGAAGGTTGACGTAATGTCGGAAGTATCCCCTTGAAGATGGACATTTCCGCCGTTTCGCCCCTTTTGAGGTCTATACTGGAATATCTGTACTGTCCTCATCTAGGCGAATAGAGGACCACCCCTCCGAGAGGCCAAAATCTCCGGCGAACACCAGTAAGATCGGCATGTAAGGGTGCTTCCTCTATAACGTCACGCCATAGATATTGATTTATTTAAGATTTTTGTAGGGGTGATCTGGGACCACATCCTTCCCAAGCAGCTTCGTATTTATGAACACCATTGCGGAGGGATATGGTAACACACTCACGTTCTCCAACCGACAAGTTGTAGTAGTGTGTGGACGCGATGGAGAGGTAGGGTAGATTGGGTAAATGTACTACTTGATTACGACGAAACCAATAGTAGAAGATGCATCATGATGAACCTTCCGTTCAGCACGCGACATTCGAGCTTCTGAACTAGCCACAATGTTTCAGCACACTGTTCACTGTGGAAGATGAGAGGAAGGTTTTATAATCATTGTGTGGGTCGGAAACCACTTTCCGGCAGCCTGCCATTCGTGAAAGCAATCCTCCCAGCGCATGCACTCTCAAGGGCTAGACCGTTGGTCTCAAACCTGACGCGCTACAAGCATCCAACCTGACCGATTTGCACAAGTCAGGGCATACTTCACTTGACGTAGAAGAATCAAGCTGGTATCGTAGCTGGCGTGTGATTGTGAGGATGCGGAATGGACAAGCATACCAAAAGTCTAAAGGACAGACTACACCATGGTATACTTATACATGCATTTATCTTTTACTGAGGGTCATACTTTGGACATTCCCAGAACGTATTCGTATGCTTGCAGTTGGTCCAGTCGATCACGCGAAAAATGACCAAGGACTTGTGCGAGATTTCTTTCTCAGCCAAGGAGGGTACACGAGCTGAGCTATTACTCCTGTAAATTTAGACGTCAATTTGAAACTGAACATGCGAATGGGAGCAAAGAAAATGCTTTCTCACATTCCTCGAGCTTGAAATTGTAATATCGCAATTTCTAGCCGTGGTCTGACATTGGCCACCTTTAGCAAACCTCTGTTTTTCTATTCCTTCGGAGCGGAGTGTATTCCCGGGTTTGACACGGGCAGGATCTTCGCCGAGGTGGATGTTCGGCTCCACACGGTCTCGGACCCGAAAGACCGGCTTCTTCTACCGGTCTCATAGCAAATAGGCCGAGATGTCTCCATTCCTCTATTATTCCTCTATTGAGAGATTGAGAGATCGATAGAATGGCATTGAATGGTACTATATTACCGGGTAATTTGAAACAGAGCAAGACTTCCTCAGAACCTAATACGCCACTGTGCCACTAGCCCAAACTAGAAGCGGAGGTTATCAGCGATGCTCCGTGGTACTTACCGAGTAAAAGCATCGTGAAGGGTACCTGATGTTCGGATTCAAGGCTTTGTAGAGACCAAGGTCTGATACAATGTAGTTGTCTCAGTGTTACTGCACGTCGTGTGGCCTATGTCCGGCTGTTTTGAGGCCCCCCACAGTTCGGGAGGCTAGACGGGAAATGTCGACCAAGCGGCCTCTCTCACCCTTTTGCCGCCGGGTAAATCGCTATTGCCATATTAATCAACCCAGAAATCCTAAGAAGCTCAAAGATGTTAGCATTTAGACACGGTCTAGATATTCCGACTTCATTTTTCAACCCCTTTTAGAGGTGCTGATACAACACCGCAACATGTCATACCTAGGCTTTGTTCAGGTACACTTCACCAAGGTACTTTGCGGACTTGATCATGCTAGAATCTTCATCGACATTTCCCATACAGTAGCAGAGAGCTACAAAGAAATGGGAGAAACGCCTGCATGGTATTGATGGAAAACCACAAACCAGCACGAAGTTCTTGGAACAGACTTGGACTGATGAAAGGTATTCAACCAGGTTGATTAACTTGCACTGGGACCGACGCCAAGGACCTGGTTCCGGGTGAAGTCTAAGAAACTTGAGATGGAACGAAGTGACATTGCACCCGTCTGGAACCCAAGGACGGGGACCGATCGGTTTTTAGGGGTACATGACTTTAACTCATTGGCGCGGCGGCACCAGTACCAATTTTTGGAAGGAAGTGTGTGTTACATTCGGCGTTCTTAAGTCGCTTTGGTGGACCGAAATCGAGACTAGGCGCAATATGCTACAGATATAAAGCCACAGACTTCGCCTTTGCCTAGGTCGTGAACAGCAGGAATGACAAACAACACAGCAGCAATCAAGTCATCATGGTCACTTTCAACTCACTTATTCTGGCTTTCGCCTCCGTGGCCGGTGTTCTCTCTGCTCCTGGAGAGCTGATGAGGCGCCAGTCAACTCCTTCGTCTACTGGAACGCACAACGGCTACTATTACTCCTGGTGGACTGACGGTGGATCCCAAGTTACTTACACCAATGGTGCAGGTGGCCAATACAGCGTGGTCTGGCAAACTGGCGGCAACTTTGTCGGAGGTAAAGGCTGGAATCCTGGTGGACCGAGGTACAATCGTCCGATTCCTACCCAGGCTGAGTTTTGAGCACGTCTCTGACAGAAACCCTACCTTTCAGAACTATCACGTATTCCGGCAGCTATAACCCGAACGGCAACAGCTACCTCGCGATCTATGGCTGGACTAGAAACCCCCTGATAGAGGTTTGCCTGACATTTCCAGACCCAACCCAACATCTGCTAAACTTCCTACGCAGTACTACATCGTCGAGTCCTTCGGTACCTACAACCCTTCCAGCGGCGCTACCAAGAAGGGAACCGTCACCAGTGATGGTGGAACCTACGACATCTACGTTAGCACGCGAACCAATGCCCCCTCCATCGACGGCACAAAGACCTTTCAGCAGTATTGGTCCGTCCGCCAGACGAAACGCGTGGGCGGAACAGTCACGACCGGCAATCACTTCAATGCCTGGGCTCAGGTAGGCCTGAACCTCGGCACTCACGACTACATGATCGTTGCCACGGAAGGATACTTCAGCAGCGGCTCTTCTACAATCACTGTCGGTGCATCAGATGCTGGTGGCGGCGGCACAAGCCCGCCTGTGACCAGCCCTCCGCCCAGCAGCGGTGGTGATGGAACTGTGAGGTCCCATCTCTTTACCCCTAGTCGTCTTTTACTGATGTATTATCCCCTTGCTAGTGTGCTGCAAAATGGGCTCAATGCGGAGGATCTGGCTTTACTGGACCGACTTGCTGCCAATCTGGGTCCACGTGCCAGGCGTCGAACCAGTGGTACTCCCAGTGCCTGTAAAGTCTAGGACTTAGGAATGAGAATGCCCTGAAAGGCATGCCATCTTACTTAGAGCACAGGCTAAGACCATGGAGAAGTCCTCAATGAACCGTGTTCCGGTGTCTCAAGAAAATAATGCGTTTGATTGAATATGTCAAAGTGCGGACCTAAGTCGTGACCTTTCTCTATTTGGCATCAAATTTGGAAGGGGGGGGAAATACGTGTAGTCATTAGCTTGTATTGATATTTACCTATACGTCTGTCCTGCATGGGTGTTTGCGCAACAGATGTGGTTCCAATTCATCTCATGATGTCACCAATGACACATACCTTGGATACCTGTAGCGTCGTACAATTCAACCTCTTGACATGTCATATAAGGTACTGGTATATCACAATAGGTATGTAGAGAACACAGCCGTTGTAAGGACTTCGATTAAAAGCAGCGCAGTAGAGTTAATACACCATCATTTACGGCCAGCCAAATAAAAAGGAAATATAAGAGAAGAGAACAAGAAAATTGCGGCATCGCAAGATGCAGGAATAGGCCGGCCTGCGGGACGGGACTGGGGCAGGGGCAGACAAACACCGAAAGATCTCGTATAACAACAGCCCGAGGTATCTATCTGCGGACTGACTTTGAACCTTACAGACAATTGATGAGGCAACAAGTCGTCTGGATTTGTAAGCTACGAGATGTCGTCTCCTGGCACTACCTCCGTCATTGTCTACCTTATGACAGGCCACACCGGAAAGAAGCAGTATTGCCACTTGCCAGAAAGCACCAAACCTTACAATCCTCAGACCTTACTCTCAGATGGGCATACTATCCTCATTCTTGCCTGTATCGTCGCATTACATGCTGGCCGTGAGGTCTTGTGTTGCTAGCTATTTTACTTTGTCGTGGCCAGTCTAGATCCAATGAGTCTGTTCTAGCAGACCTTCACTATGTTGACAAAGTATTTGAAGCTTATGATCTGTGTTCCGCCAAGCCTGACCGGGAAACGTGGAGCCCCACCGCAGGACATCGCTTTTCGTTGACCGAAGTACCTGCTCAAGTTCGAATTGTACTCTTTCATCAACGTGAGCACCTTTGGCGAGGAGACGTGCAAACGTCTTAGGCAGGACGTCTGGCGAGGTAGCGAGCATGATGGGGTTCGCTCCAGCGCCGGGTTCTCGTGTGGACAGGTTTGGATCAGCTCCATGGCGCAAAAGTAAGGCTACGATCTCATCGCAGAACGAACGGGCCTGTTGAAGAACGGTACCTAGAGGAGTTTTCGACCACGGTTCCGGTCCATCGGCCTCGTTTACATCTGCATTGTGCTCTATCAGTGTCTTTACCACTGGAGCTTGATCGCTCCGGAGTCCAATATGAAAAGCAGACACATTCGGGCGCATTGAAGAAACGTTCTTCGAATTGGGGTCGGCCCCGAACTTCAGCAGTGTGCGAATCGTGCTGACAGGATGTTTTTGCTCAATAGCCGCAACTAATGGGGTCACGTCATCGTTGTTCCACGTATCTGGCTGTCCCAAGGTATTGACTCCATTGGAAAACCCTCCGGCGAGAAGGGCTTCCATGAGCTTGGGACACTTGACTGAGTGAAGAAGATAGCTCTTCTCAGCCCAGACGTTTTCGATTGAGTGGCAGGCCTTGAGGAGATATCGTGCAACCTCGATCTTGTTGTTCTCGATTGCAACACTTAGTGCAGTCTCTCTCTGGAGAGTAGCTTCAGCATCATAATCAGGATAAATGACAGGACTGAGGGGGCCTGCCCCGTGAGCAATAGCCATCTTCACGGCACTCAGTCGGCCGGTTCTAGCACCCCAGATGAGGGCCTGGTGGCCATTGAGTGAGTCTAGGTGGTAAAGACTCCATCCGAAAATAGCTGCACATCTACGCGAGCACCGAATGATTGATAGAGTATCCTTTGCGGGAAGATGAAGGCCAATCTCATTCAAGATCTCGTATGGGAGGTCGTCCATAAATCGAAAGCCTCGACTCTGAGGTTCAGTCTCCACCCTGGTTCTTCCCATTGCGAGGATCTTATGGAGGCTAAAGTTTGTCAGTAGGCGATTCAAGCCTTGAGTAAAAGTTGAAGAGGTTGCGGAATGAATGTACCATACCAGTTATATTCGAAGCCTACTATTGTGTTACTAACGACGAATATAGTCAAGCGAACAGGATGATCGATTGACGGGCAAACAGGCTGAAATGAAAGTGAGGGCTATCCTGACGGGTCGTTCAATAGAGAGCTGTATTGTGGTAGGCAACACAGGGCCTGGTCGAGACAAATCTGGGTGAAAAAGAGGGAGGGAGGAACAAGGATTTGCGAGGTGCGAGACAAAAGGCGACTGTAATAGAAGGGTTGAATTGAATACAGCTCCTGGAGCTGGCTAGTCAACAGTACGAGAAATAACACTTACAAGCACAGCGTGGCAGCGGTACAATGGTGAAATCGATAAGGAAACTTGTCTGCTCACAAGCGTGAATGAAAATTTACAGGTGAATCAGTCCAAAAATTGTAAACCTGAGACGATGCCCGCTGTGCGTTGACTCGGCTATCAGTCGGGGTTTGAATTACGAGGTTGCCAAAGTCTGGGGAGTTTTTTATAGAGATTCAAAAGAATAAACACCCTGACGTTCAAAGTTTGCTTCTCATTTGGATTCCTTCATTTCTGTGGCGATACGCAGCTCGTGAAAGGTCAGTCGTATCGGAGATAGATCGATCTCAAGGAAATACTGACTCAATTGAACGAAAAGTGACATGATGTCCGATCATGTTGGCAAACTAATGTAGTAGGCAGCGAGTCATCGAGCAACTTACGAACGATAGCTTCAATCGGAACATGTTTGAGACCTACCACTCAAGTGCAAGGTGGTCCGAAGGAGATATCGCGCAATGAGCCATTGACCCTGCGCCGTAGCAACGTAACGAGATTTCTCTTTCCCGTGGACTAGACCGCTCCGTGGAAGCAATAGCGACTTGGAATCGCGGAGTTAATGTCGCGATGATCAAGCAGCTAACTACCGTTTCGGTTCTTAACCCTCTGTATGGCGGTAGGTTCTTTCATAACCCGGGTACTTGATCTTCTATTTTTTATAGCTTCTCTAACAACTATACTGGGAGGGAAAAGTCTTAACGGGAATGAAAGAGGTATGAGGAATAGTAGCAACAGCAGGCAAGTTAGCTTAAACCCATTTGGTACCTACAAATCCTCGACTTGTGGCTTCATGACACTTTCAGGACCGGGGCCTACCCCCGCGGCGAAAAGCTGAGACGCATACTGCGAGTATTCAATGGAGATGGCAGGAATAAGATTTGCGCTAAGTGTGTGCATGTATGAGCCTCTTAACCCTGCGTACGTTTTGGAAGCCTAAACAACAATGACCTCGAGTATTGAGTTTGACCTGTTTCTCCGTAGACGGCTTTGGTATGCATGATTTTCCGCAGAGACTACATGACTTTCAGATCATTGATAACCTTCCACCATGGTCTTCCACCGCAGCATTCCTGATTGAATAAAAATATTCACTTCACTCTTGGTCATAAAAAACCACCAGGATTCCCTCAAATCTCCTAAGCCGCTAAAGCTACTGTAGTGAGAGTAACACAGTCCCTTGGAAGTCCTGACACTCGAACACATCAACGACAGTCACAATTCGTCAAGATGGAACAAACCTCACAAGACACATACTACTCAAGCGGTCGAGGCTCAGCTCACTCAATAAAATCACACCACGAGCTCTCCTCAACCTCTCATCCGAAACCGTGGAACATATCATTTACGCTCTGTGCCAGTCTTGCCAGTCGTGCGATCACGGCTGCGAGCCTACAGTGGCCGGGCGTGGTGCCCTCGAGAACTTAAGCTTGACATGCAAAACGTTTCGGTACCTTGCCGCACCACACTTGCGACATACTTTCAGCTTATTTCACAAGCGCCTCTCGGATCCCATCACCTACGATGCCCTGGTTCGTCAGCGTGAAATCCAGTAGGCCCATAGGGGCGGCTCCTTGGCCGACATTCGATACGTTGAGGCCAGTCTCTTTCTTTGGTGTATATGGCTTTGTCCCTGATAACGCCACTGTGTTTGCCCCAATGACTTACACCCATCAATACCGAGAGCATTGGCATCGTTACCAAACTTCGAGAGGCTCGACATCATCGTCGAGGGTTCTCACTCGTCTCAAGGACGCCAAGCTTCACTTCCCCGCTTCCAAGGCTGGCCTGTCTACAAGTCGATCAAGAGTCTCCGATTTCTCTGCGCTTGCTCTGCAGAAGGCCAGGCTGTATCAACTGACCTTACTTCCGCGTGGGGTGGCAGTCAACTGATTGGCAAGCTTCCGAATATCACCAGTCTTCATATTCACGGCATCACACAACTCAAGCTCTTCAACGATCCCGTGCCCTGTCACGGCTACCCAACCTTGGTTCATCTCAGACGCCTAAAGCTAACAAACTGCCGATTCATCTTCGCAACTTCTTTCAGCCTTCTGCTTGAGTGCTGCAGATCGCTGGAGGTCTTCATCTTCAGTCGGGACGAGTCCCCCGAGGGTAGCATCATCCAAGAGCTGAGTTGTAACAATTGGAACCTCGATTTGGAGATCACCCCACGTCAAATAGTTGATCAAATCAGCATAAAGGTACCCAAAGCCCTGAAGCATTTGGTTATCGGACCATGGCTTGGGTGGGAGGGTCAGTACGCACCGATGCATGTGTATTACCGCAATCGTAATCAGTGCATGCAGGAGAAGCTTGTAAAAAGGAATGTTATCGGATCGCTTCGGCATTTTAGGAATCTTGAAGAGGTTCATCTTTGTCAAGATGTGGTACTTGAACCCCAAAGTGCATGGCCCCCGATGAAAATGGGTACCTGTTACTAGAAACGCCACCTCTTAGCTTGAAGAAGCTCAAAATCTCGGGGACAAATAGGCACCTCACACCTTGCTTGATAAAGCTCCTTGAGGCGACATGTATGAAAAACCTCCGCGAGATTTGTTCGAGCTGCAGAAATCTGTTCGTGCATCAACTTGACACCTTCAAAGAGAAGCAGAGCTCGATGAGTGATTGGCCTAGGATTGATGAGAAGGATCTGATTTATCTCACGAAGGGCTTCAAATAGAAGGGTGTAAACTTCTATGTAAATTAGCTGCGTCATTTGCTTGACATTTTCTTGCGAAGTTAGTGGTCAGTCAATTAGGCGGACCAGGGAGGTAAGCAACATGTCATAGGGTCTTTCTTAATACAACTACATTTGGCAATACTATCCCATAATCTGCTAAATGGCTTCAGTGCATCTGTTCAAGCACTTCTCTACGTACTAGCTCCATCTAGTAAGCACGCGCTTCGTTCAATACTACGACATTAACCCAAAGAAACACGATGCGATATCCCTGAGCGATTTACCTCACCGAGTCTCACCGAGAATGACCGAGCCATCAAGGTCGCGATTGTGGGCACTCCTCGGTAAACTTCGGTCAGAAAACTGACGGGTCCCGAGGTTCAGGCGGGGCGCTGACACATCAGCCTGATTGGGCGATCTGGAACTGCATGGAAGGATTATTCACCGGCCGGCCGAACTGCAGGTCCGGACGGGGCCGAATTGGGAGCTTCGACCGTCGGTCAAGCCAAAAAAAGCAAAGGGCACACAGAATTCATTCCCCACGAATTGCCTCGGCTCGCCCACTCCCATTTCAAAGCCGCCTTGGACGACGGCGACGGCGTCCAATCGGGACTCGCCCAACCTCACCATGTTCCATCCATCTCGCACTCGCAGGGCCTTTTTCGATTGGCGATGATTAGTAGCGCGTCCGGTGCCAGCCAAACAGACAGCTCAGCAGTCACGCCAGTATCTGCACGTACGGAGTATTACGAATACAGATAGCTGCGAGAATTCAGGAACGAGGATTCAACCCCGACAGCCCCGACACGAGGTGGATGATAATCCCGATTATCTCTGGACCTTTTGAGTTTCAGCATTTCTAAGCCCGGACGGCATTGCACATCCTTGGCCCGCCCCAAACCCGCTTCTCGAACACTCAACCCACCCCGCGACCCTCCTTTTGGGATCATCAATGGAACGGTCAACGGCCAGCACCCCAGCACATCTCCGTTCCCGACGTCCCCGTTCCCGCATGGTCGCATCGGCCGCAATCGCAAGCATTGCAGCTTCGCTTCCGGGGGACCCTGAGAGCTGTCAGTTGCACTACCGAGCGATGGGCGAGGGGTTGATGACAACGCCGCCTGCGTGTTGTCCAGTGGTGCCTCTCGAATCCTCCGACGTCCAAGGCTCCAGAGTTCAAGGGAGATAATGTCCCGCCATGTCTTCAGAGCTTCCGACAGGATGAGAGATCTGATAGGCCCAATGCACAGAGCTGAGCAAGAGATGACAAGTTGAGGTGCCATTGTCTCAAGCCTCGGCATGTCGTCATGCCCGATTTTATCTAGCTCCACCACGGGAACGAGACGAGGCGCAGACGCGGACGCAGATGCAGACATTGCAGACGCAGTAATCCGCCGCCTTTTGGTACGGAAATCTTCCTATACTCCTGGAGCGAGAGGGTCTGCGACCTGCCACCTTCATATCGAGTATCGACCTTGTGTCCTGCCCCTCGGAGCAGAAGCAGTCTAGCTAGGGTCGCGCGTTGCCCGCAGCCCGCCAGCCCCTCCTTAACCCATATGAAGAAAACGTCCGGTGGGAAAAGACCCTCCGACTCCATTTGTTGTTCGGGCGGCCACTCCGGGGAAATCGGCCACACGCCACACCCACACACCCATCTTGGGTTATCCATCCACCACTCTGCATCCGAAAGTCTGCTAGGTAGACAATCTGTGTGCCCGTGGTACTGTGGTACCGTATCACCGTGTGGTGCGTCGACTGTTCGAAAAAGGGGACAGACACAAAGCAAAGTGAAAGGCAGAGGAAAAAAAAAAAAAAAAAAGAGAGCCTCCAGGCCCCATCCCTACTAGCCCATGCTCCGTGCGCCGGAGAACATTCCTCGATCGTTCGCCAGCTCGTCGAGTCCTTCGGAGCTTGTGCGGGCCAATGTCCCGTCTTGGTCATCCTGCTCCGGCGCGGGGCATGAAGTCATGACATGAGCCAAAGGCAAAAACTCGGTGCAAGCGACTCACGCACCAAGCGTCCACCGCTGGCACCGCACGCTTGACCGCGGCCATGAAGCTTGGAGGGGTAAGTGTAATCCGCGAAAGCGGCGGAGGAAACGTGGGACACGAAAGCAAACGGGCGATTTCAGAGTTTGCGAAATAGACTGGATGACCCGACTACTAAAAGAGCTCCCTCTGCTCCTCTACCTCCGACTTGGAAAGGCTCTGTGAATCAGTTGTCTCGTATCCTGTGGTGTTTGCTTATAATCTCAAATACATACCATTCGTCTTCCTTGATACCCTTTCCTCTTTCCACACAACATCATATCCAAAATGTCGCAACAAAACCTTTCCGTCGTGCTGGCCGAGCGTCCCACGGCCGAGATCATCCCTGGCAAGACCTTCAAGACTGAGCAGAAGCCGATCCCCAAGGCTGAAGACCTCAAGGATGGCGAGATCCTCATCGAGAACTGGTACCTCTCCCTTGACCCCGCCATGCGTGGCTGGTTGAACGGTATGTCGAGACCTTTACACTCTGCCATGATCATCTTCGCGGGGACAAGTGCTAATCAAACTTCCATCTAGACCGCCGCTCCTACCTCCCTCCCGTCCAAATCGGCGAAGTCATGCGCGGCGCCACCGTCGGCCGCGTCCTGGCCTCCAAGTCCTCCAAGGCCAAGGAGGGCGACGTCCTCCCCTCCTTCGGCGGCTGGGCCGAGTACAGCGTCGTCCACGACAGCCGCGTCGAGCCCGTCTCCTCCTTCCCCGCCGTCTCCCAGCCCATCGACTACCTCTCCGGCATCGGCATGACCGCCCTGACGGCCTACTTTGGCATGCTCCGCGTCGGCGACCCCAAGCCCGGCGAAACCGTCGTCGTCTCGGGCGCCGCGGGCGCCACCGGCAGCGTCGCCGGCCAGATCGCCAAGCTCAAGGGCGCGCGCGTCGTCGGTCTCGCCGGCTCGGACGATAAGTGCAAGTGGTTGACGGAAGAGCTCGGCTTCGACGTCGCGCTCAACTACAAGGACCCCGAATTCAAGCAAAAGTTCAAGGAGGCCACGCCCGACTTCATCAACGTCTACTTTGACAACGTCGGCGGCGAGATCCTCGACATGGCGCTGGCGCGTGCCAAGGAGTTTTCGCGCTTCGTCATGTGCGGCGGTATCAGCCAGTACAACTCTGCGACGCCGCAGGGCCCCAAGAACTACGCCAACATCATCACCATGCGCATCAAGATGCAGGGCTTCATCGTCTTCGACTTTGTGCAGGAGTACGGCCAGGCGCGCAAGGAGCTTGCGCAGTGGCTTGAGGAGGGCAAGATCAAGCGCAAGGAGACGGTCGTCAAGGGCGGTCTGAAGGCGGCGGAGCAGGGTCTCGTCGACTTGTACAAGGGCATCAACACGGGCAAGCTGATTGTCGAGATCAAGAACCCCAAAGATGCGGCCAAGTTGTAAAGGAATCCCGAGCCAAGATCTCTGAGGAATGATTTGATGACACTGTAATTTTATGCATAATGACCAGATACTGGCACATATAGAAAGGCATGCCAAACAAATTGGAAAACATTACAAATATCTTTTGTCTGTACTGGTGCTTTGGGTGACCTGTTTGCTCTCAGCGGCGGCCCCCAAAAGGCTGAGGCTTTTGTGTCGCTAGCTAGATATGGAGGACGGAACCTGAATAAGAGACATGATCACCCCGATCATCTTGTTGGCGATGTCGTTGCTGTTGGTGAAGCATTGAGTAAAGGGCTGGTATCGTTGTGTCGGGGACTATGCCAGTACTCAACATGCAAAGATAAGGGGTTATGGATGTAAGCCGTGCAGTCCACAAAGGTACCCGCTACTGCCACCATCACCAACCGGTGATCGCCAACCTGCCCCAAGCTCCTCCTTTCTGCCGGGGCCATCCCATCTTCAACCATCGACTTTCTCGACGTTGCCCCGGACACAGCTCCAAACACACGCAGACAGATCTTTGCAGATATTCGCAGCACCTGTTTGAAGTCCAAACGTTTGCATGCCTCGCTACGTCGACATGGCACATTGCAATTTCCTTCTCTGAGTTGCAAGGCACCACCTCTTTTTTAAGGATTCACCGGCGCGGCTCGCTCGGAGGCTTACGGAGAAGACCCCAGCACCACGGCGTCGCATGTAAATTTCCTTTCAGGAGGCTGCGCATTCCCAACGTAGCGAGAAGCGAACCCTCTTCGTACGATTCCTAGACGAACAGAGACGGCGATTACGACTAGAGTTTCAGGCTTTGAAAAGCTCTATTTCTCACGCTTCCTGTAGCGTTCTTACCGTGACCGACCACCCCCCCGCCAGGTCTGCGTGCCTCGAAGCGAGACATTCCACTCCAGATCCACTCGAACTTCTTCACCTCTGGAATGCGCCCAGCCTCGAGTAAATGGAAGTGATAACTCCCACGCATCGGGAGACGGCCGTTTAACAAGGACGGGACGATTGGAGACACAAAAAACAAGAATGCTTTTTTGCAAACCGAGAACTCGAACACAACAAAGAAAGTCGAACACGAGTCCATGATACGCTACAACACATCCTCGACGTATCCCTAGTCGGAGCTTGCGAAGCCCACGACCCAACCCGACGTACATATCCTTCAAGTCAAGGTCCTTACTGTCCAACCTCCACGATGGCTTTGTCTTCAGAAGAAGCTGCCCACCTCCACAGGCAGGCAAAACGACGAGCCGAACGAGCCGCAGCCGAGATGAATTTCCGCGAAGTGACATCGGAGGAGTA